AACAGTAGATCAAGTGGTGGAAACTAAGGAAAGAGACATGTTGTGAAGACTTCAGGAAGGAAGTAAGGGCAGTTCTGGGTCGTGTTGAAGAATTTCCAGATGATTGGGAGACTACAGCTGCAGTGAAGGTGCTAGGTATGTCCTCTGGGAAGAGGAAGAAATACCTGATGGTGGAATGATGAGGTCCTGGTCCAGGAGAGTGTGCAAGGAAAGAGATTAGCGAAGAAGAGATGGGACAGTGCGAGAACATAAGAGAACAGACTGGAGTACAAAGAGAGGACAAGGGAGGTGAAGAGGGAAGTGGCCAAGGCCGAACAAAAGGCATATGAGGAGTTGTATGAGAGTTTGGACACAAAGGAAGGAGAAAAGGAGGCCTACCCCACTATTTGAGAAGTACTGGTCTAAGAGAACAGACAGAGAGTTTGGTCCCAAATCCTGGTTCGCTGGTTCGTGATGTAAAATGTTTTCCCAGGAGAGCCAACGTTTCCAACAGAGAAGGAGCCAGAGCCTCGATGAGACTTTAACCTTACAGTTGAATGTCAGACTTATCTTGGCCACTGTCTGCAGAGCTTGTGAGAATCTTTCCGGCGGTAGAAGTCTCTAGTTTGTGCTTAATTACGAGGGGAGCTTTAATAATGCCAGCAGGACACACAAAGAATCCAGTATGTGAGTGGGGTTTCAATAAACCGACCCATTTAGAAAGTGTAGCAGTACTTGGCCTAGTCCTTAGACCCCTTCCCAAAACTGTCAAGCCTAGTATTGCATCAACTCAATGCAGCTTTTTTTTTTTAATTTTTGTTAAATGATACTGATTTATTAATTATTTTCACATTGATATATATATATATAATTAAATGTTGATACATGTTTGTTCTTAAAACCATTTTTATTCAACAAACAGACATTTAGCTTGGTTCATTAGAGCTTTATTGAGTGATTAAGGTCATTTTTATTTTTATATTTTAGTAAATAAGAAAAGCAAACAGGTTCAGCCTTTGCCTTTCCCATTTTTGTTTTACAGGCGATAAAAAAAAAAATCTCGTAGGTCGATGGGAAAGGTGATTTATGAAGCTTGGAAGTAATGGAGGCTGCTCTGCTGTCCTGAAGTGCATTACGTTTTTTGATAAGTTAGGCTAATCCACTAACCTAATGTTCCATTGCGTCATGCGCATGACAACAACTGCCGTCTGGTAAAAAAAATTGTCTGCATCTTGTTTAGGAGGTTCCAGCTATGGCCATTGATTAACACTCTCAGGTTATTTAATAATTCATTCAGTTCATCCCGTTACCTGCAAATATCTAATGTGATATATAAAGAGATAGAGCGAGGAGCTCGGGGTAGAGCCGCTGCTCCTTTTCCATCGAGGGGAGCCAGCTGAGGTAGCTAGGGCATTTGAATTGCATGCCCCCCCCCGTATGTTTCGTTCTGAAAGGAGGGACATGGATGGATGGATGGATGGATGGATGGATGGATAGATAGATGAATGGATGGGTGATATAAAGAGCTACAGCATCCTTACCTGTATTTGAACTCTATATAAAAATAAAACGATAATGGCAATATGATATGATACGACATAATATGATACGATAATAGTAGTTAATACATTGCGTCTTTCAAGATAGTTGTGCATTCTTTGCCTTTCTACTGTTTAACTTTAAATCACACACTTTTGTGCTGGTGCAAAACAGCTACTGTATGTATATAAGAAGTTTTTTTTTTTTTTTTATGTTCTTCCAACTGCAGCTCGAGTTCACATATCAATTATGTACCAGTTTACAAGTGTCTCATAAATCATATAATCACAACTCATAGCATAGATCATTAACACCAAGTTACAACACAGAGGCAAATGGGAGTGTTCGGACTTGAATAGACAAAAATAAGGATACCAGATAAATAAATAATAATACTAAAACTATAACTGGACCAGAAAGAACGCCTGCTCTGTTAATAATCTGATATAATTCATGGGGGTTCTGTCCCTTGTGTTTGAAATATTTACTTCATTAATAAACAACAAATTTAAACACTGCGTTTTCTTGAGTTCAAGGGTATTTCCTTGGTTTATCTATCTAGTCTATTCTTCTTTTTTTTCTATTTTTATTCCTTTGATCTTTTTTTGGGTGTTCTGTGTGTTTTCTCATCTGTGAAGTGAATAAAGTCCGAATCTCTGTTTTTTCCCTTTTAAAGGTTGTCAGCGCATCAGGACGTTTGTACACTTGCATTATTTCCTGTCACTATTGCCCGTGCCCGGCCTTCGCTCACACTGTGCTCCGCAAAAATGAAGGACTGTTGGTGAGTGTCACAAGTGGAACGTCACAGCATTAGATAGAATTGACATGTCATTGTCAAAAGCAGTAGCAGGATTTCCTTGTCGTGGACTGGATCCTTTCACATGATAACAGTGTCTTAGTGAGAGAGTTTATACCAAAAGTATATTTACACACAAAGAAGGGAGGTCCATTGTGTTTCGCCAGTCAGACAATAAAATAAAATATAATAAATATAAATATTATATATTTATATTTATATTTAAATATTATATATTATATATATATATAATAAATATATATTTATTATATTAAATATTAATATAATATAAATATAAATAAAATATAATCTTTGAGAATGTTTAGTCAGAAATGACATTGCGCATGTGGGGAACTGTGTGTAACAGATGTCTTTGTGTGATCGCAGTAGCGTGGTTTTCCCCTGACTGTCAGGGTAGCTTCTGCCTTAACAATCTGCAAGTGCGTGACCTTAGCGCTGGCTCCTGGAATCGGACCACTTTTAAAATCAGTGTGAGAAACAAAGTTAGCAGCCCAAAAGGAGCATATGATGAAAGCCACCGCACAAAACATTTCCAATGAACAGTACGGAAATACATTTACATTGTGATAAGTTTAAACTGTAAGTTTGCTATTTAAGTAATAAAATGTATTTTCCAAAAATGATGATATTTTAACTATTTTGCGTGCTTAAAAGAGTAGTGTTACCATGGTGCAGTTTCAGTATCAGTCTGAGATGATAAGTAAAAGTGGCAGTAATTGTCACAGATTTGGTGAGGTTCAATACTATTACCGTATTTTCCGGACTATAAGTCGCTCCGGAGTATAGCTCGCACCAGGCAAAAATGCATAACGAAGAAGAAAAAAAAAAACATACAAGTTGCTCCAGAGTATAAGTTGCAACAGTGCCCTCTAGTGGCTGAGTTTGGAAATAACAAACGTAAATTTTCAGTGGTACAGGAGTAGCAGATACTGGTACACAAGCCTAGAGTGCCCTCCAGCGGCTGAACATGTGAAATTATCAACCATGTATTATATAT